ATTTTTTCGTTTTCTTGGGTATGAGGTTTTATAATAAATTGAAAGATGGGGAAACATTTTTTATGCCACATTTCGCTCCAACATAGTGGGCTCAGGCACAAGTGGTTATCAAATTGGAATGGAAGGTTCATCAATATCTAATAAAGAACACATTTTTTGAAATATAAATAATTTTGAGTTCTTGTCCTTATGATTAAGCCAAATATTAACCAGATCGGCATTGCTTATCAATTTTACTCCATCTGAAAAGTATTAAAAAATAAAGTTCGTCGCAAGCGGACGCAGGTGAACTATACAAAAATTAAAAGTGTATGAATATGGCAACAAAAATATTCAATAAACACGATATGTTTTGATATGTTTTTTTTTTATGACTTTTTGAAGTTTGAAAACGTAACATTTTTATACCCATTTAAGAATCATCTTAAAAAATAAATAAAAACTAAACAATAACGAACTTGTTTAGGAATAAATTTAAAGTACATACCTTGTTTAACAATATCCATAGTGGCTTTCAATTAAGTACGTACCGTTTAACTCCATATACAGAACTAATATGAATGTTATTCTTTTCACTGATATAAGATAATGATCGCAAAATTTATTTTTAGTGAAAATATTTGCTAACAAAAAACGCTGTTTATGAAAAATAATATACAGGATGGTTGAACATTGCTATAAGTATAAAATTACATATTCAGATATTAGTAAATTTTAACTTTTTTTCGATTTTTGTCCATGGGACGAAGCACTGTGTGTTGTGGCGGATGCGCCAGGCTTCAACTAGTATGAAATAAATTAAGATTGATTGACGTTTTCAATTGTTTTCGGTCACTTCCTGTTTCACGCAAAATGACTACAACTTTTAATTTTTAAATGACACCCTCGGTAGTTTTTTTTACTTTATTCGATAGAAAAGAACTTTCTGAATCGGATGACATATCATATGTCAACTTTTGACATACTCAATCAAAAACAAATTGTATTTTATCTAGAGTGCCATGGCTGTGTTAAAACACTAATTTTTAATTAAAAAAACTGCCTGTCAAAAAAATCTGTATAGCCTAAACGACAAATTTGGTGATTACCACAGCCACTGGCATAAAGAAAAGACATGTGGCTATCTATTTCAAAAATTAAATTGTTTGAATATCATATAATATTGGCCGTAGCTGTCATGTCATTCAAATGAAAACTTACTTTGTTATTTTATAAAAATAAATTAAAATTATTCTTTTTAATTACGTTTGGTTTTTAAAAAGAGGAAATAATTTAAGGATCAACACACACAAAAATACATTTAAAATAGTTATAAACAATGTGTGCCATAAAGTATCCTTATAAGACTTTATGTTTCCTGCAGAAAAAGTTAAATCATAAACAACACAGCACACTATTTAACGCTACTTTATATCCATCAGCCCCCCGAAACATTATATTCTAGAAAGTATTTTCTAAGAAGGCGAACGAGGAATCAACATAAATTACATCTTTATATGGTTCCTAAGATTATAATCTGACTTTTAAAAGAAGTTCGAAACTTTTTCTCTTTATTTTCATTTGCCTTTTAGGAGAGGAAAAAAGTTTCGCTTAAGGCAATGCCGTGACGCATATATTATCTACAAATTATCACTCCTTTAAAATAGGGGGTCGTTTAAAGTGATTTCAGAATTTAAGGAGATATTTGTCTGGATTTTTTCCTGTATTTAAATGTACTTTGTGAAAAAAAATACGGAAAAAAGGCATAAGGGTTGACAACCAAATAAGGTGATACGTTTTTTGAAGGTCAATACTGTCTAATTTTGCACATTGTGAAAATTAATAGCCTACCATACCTATTGGTATGGGATCGGCAATCTGTCTGTCCGTCTGTCCGTCTGTAACACGATACGACGAGGATCGGCAATCTGTCTGTCCGTCTGTCCGTCTGTAACACGATAACTCGAAAACCGCTGAACCGATTTTAACCAAATTTGACACAAAAATACTGTGGCACCCGAGAATCTGGCCATTAGTTTTTGGTGGGGGTGGGGGGTTGGTAAGGGGGTATGGGAGGGGGTTAAAAATTTTAAAAAATCGTAACTCCAAAATTACAGTAGCTAGCGAAACGCGGTTTTCAAATTAAGATTACGAATAATATTTGCAACAAAATTTGTAATAACATCAAAATCAGTCAAAGTCGCGAGATATTAACATATTTTAGTATGGGCGGCTATACGTGCCTCCCGGCGCCATTTTTTTTTTTGGTCGTTTGGACTAAAATAGCTTATAGCTGCTGTTTATTTATAGATCATAATATATTGTTTCATATTGTTTGTGGTACAAGCATATTTAATATATGTATAGGGTAAGTCTTAAATAATTGCAAACATATTTAGAGCTGGTAGATCTCGATAAAAGAAATATATTTTCTCTTTACCATTTTTCAAATAAGTCCAAAATAACTGAGTTATTTTACTATGAAATTTAAAAAAAGAAATAATTTTTTGCTTAAATTTTGAGAGTCACTGAATCTTTTCTAGGCTTTCATTCTTGTAAATTTAATTTACTACCGATGTTGCCATATTTTCAAGTAATTGTGCTTTTTAACTCAAAACTAAAAAAAAATCAGATTTTTAACTTAAACCGCCAAAAAATATTTGCACTTATCTCACTCTCCATTTCAACATTTATAAATTTTTTTAAATATTCATAATATGTACTTACATTTTATGAATATTGTTAAATATAAGTACAAAGAAATATTTAATAATTATAAAATTAGCAATTGGGAATATAATTTAGACGAAAAAAGTCTATCCAAAAAATCTCAAATATATAGGGTTTTCCGAACTGTATTTATATAAAATAAGTAAAAAAGTTTGTATAAATTCATGTCATAAAATGCTTAGTTTCGGAGATACAGGGTGTAGAAGTTTCATATTTATCTCGATTTTTTTCCAAATAATTTCTGAAGGAAAGTTAATATTTGGATAAAAATTGGTGTCTGGGAGTTTTCTGACATGAGAAATTTGATTTTGATGTCAATATTGCTCCTATTGGTAGGGGGCGCCACCTACACGTGTTTTAACTGTTTTGAAGAGTAATAACTTTTCGTCCGTACCTGTATAAAACTACTGAGTGAAAAAAATATACATTTCCGTGATTTTTTAGTAAAACATATCTTGGTAAAAATCGCTACGAGCAACCATTCTCAAGATATTTAGAATAGAAATGGTCAATACATCTCATTATTGACAAAAAATAAATATGTTGAGTAGATAGTTATTTGACTGAAATGATAAATTTGGGAACTTTTTATTTTTTTTTAAATTAATCATAAGTTTCTCTTCGAAAAAATGATGATAAAAAAGTTTCTGTTGAACCTTTGGGACAAAAACATTTCAAATTTATGATTTCAGTCTAATAACTATTTAGTCAACATGTTTAAATTATATCAATTATGACTGGTGTTGATAATTTCCATTCCAAATATCTCGAGAACCATTACTCGTAGCGATTTTTTCCAAGAGACCTTTTTTAAGTAAAAAACGTCGTAAATGTATATTTTTTCACTCAGTAGTTTTTGCATAGGTACGGACGAAAAGTCATTACTCTTCAAAACAGTTAAAACACATGTAGGGGGCGCCCTCTACCATTAGGAGTCATATTGACATCAAAATCAAATTTCTCATGTCAAAAAATTTCCCAGACACGAATTTTCACTTATAATATCACAAGAGCTTAAATTATTTTCGGAAATTTTTTTGAGGGCACGAATATTTTGAAAATTATCCCCAGTCGAAGACGAGGGATAATTTTCCTAAAAATATTCGTGCCCGAAAGAAAATTTCCAGGAATAATTTAAGCTTGCGTGGTATTCGGTAAAAAAATTTCACACCTAAATTTGAAAAAAAAATATTAATCCAACATGACAATTTTAAAATAATTTCAATTTGTTAATAATATTAACAAATATTATTATATTTTTAATTAGTTACATCAAATGCTAAAACTCAAATGGGTAATATTTCAATATATAGACATTGTAGTTCATTCACATTATGATTGTAGATCTTATGTTTACCTTTTCAACTGTCAAAAAATTTCCACTAAAGTTTCGTGACGCCTCGAAAAAATTTCCGGAAATTTTTTCAGTTGCCATGGTAACTAGTCAACATTAAAGCATGTTATTGGTTGAAAAGTAGAGGTGTGAAATTTTCACCCAAATATAAATGTCACTTCAGAAATTATTTAGAAAAAAATTGAAATACAAATTAAACTTCTACACCCTGTATCTCCGAAACTAAGCATTTTAGGACATACATTTATACGAACTTTTTTACCTATTTTTATCCACAGAATATGCTGCCGAAGTTTCCAGAATACAGTTCGGACCACCCAACCAAAAATTTATTTCTCCGATGTGTTCTGGAGATCATTATAACCAAAAAATTTGTCTAAAAACAGAGTTAAAATTACTAGTATTTAAAAATGCAGTATATTTTTAACCATCGACATCTGGAAAACAATCCTCTAATTTAAATATTACTATAAGACTGGAGAGCGAAACGTAAAGGAAATCTATAAAAAAAATGTGAGTGTGGCTGCCCTTTAAGGTAGGCAGTGGAAGTTCAAAATTACCTGTGTGTGACTTTGGTCCTCCCTTCAATACTCCTATAAATCTCAAATAAATATATTATATTCACTTTAATAGTATTTTTATTCGAGGAATAATCCAGATTACTACTTTTTAAATTGTCAATATGCATAGATATAACAATTCTTTCCGAATATTATCTTTGATATACCTAATTTCATGACTGGATTTTTCTCAGTGTACATTGAAACCCATAAAAAGCCGAAAATATTCGGAGGTACAAGTTAACGAGGGTTCCCTGGATGTTGACGACCTTAAGAAAACATACATAAACTTCCTGTTCTCGAACGAGCTGCTGGAGCGAAGTCATAAAAAGGGCAGAACTTTCAAGTGGTTCAATTAACCTAAATTTAAAACTCACCGGCATAGTTTGGCTCCCGTGCAGGCTATTAATGGCGGCTTGTGCTTCCTGGTGTGAACTGTATTTCACGAAAGCACAACCTGTAACAAAAAAAAAGTGTTCATAAATATAAGTATTTTTTTAAAAGTGGCATTATTTGTAGTATAAGAAAAATAGAGAAAATAAATTGGGAATTTTTTATTAGTTTCACGAGTGACAATGCATGGGTGTCAAGTTGAAATTCTTCTTATTATATATTATATCTATAAGGATAGTTAGTATATGGTCCTGGACACTTGTAATATAACCTACGTTGTATTAAAAAAAATTATGTGATTACCTCGGATGCGCTCGACAGAAGCAATATTTTGGGAAATTTGAGGAGGATGGGTATGTAAATCAAGCGCTATATTTGGAAATAGCCCTACTTATTTTATTAATTGAGAAGGAGTGCCGTATTCTGCATAGAGGGCGCCACCTGCATGTGTTTTAACTGTTTTGAAAAGTAATAATTATAATGTCTCTTGGTAAAAATCGCTACGAGCGACCGTTCTCAAGATATTTAGAATTGCAATACTCAATACATGTCATTATTGAAAAAAAAATAAGCATGTTGTGTAGATAATTATTTGACTGAAATTATAAATTTAGGAACTTTTTGTTTTTTTAAATTAACCATAATTTTTTCGAAAAATTAATGATAAAATAGTTTCTGTTGAACTTTTGGTACGAAAACATTTCAAATTTATGATTTCAGTCTAATAACTATTTAGTCAACATATATGTTTAATTTATGTCAATAATGACAGACAGGTAATGATAATTTGGGTCCAAATATCTCGAGAACCATTACTCGTAGAGATTTTTACCAAGAGACATTTTTTATGTAAAAAACGTCGTAAATGTATATTTTTTTCACACAGTAGTTTTATACAGGTACGGACAAAAAGTTATTACTCTTCAAACCAGTTAAAAGTATGTAGGTGACGTCCTCTACAAGTAGGAGTCATATTAACATCTAAATCAAATTTTCCATGTCAAAAAACTTCCAGACAACAATTTTTATCCAAATATTGACGTTACTTCTGAAATCTTAAATGAAACTTCTACACCCTGTATCTCCGAAACCAAGCATTTTAGGACAGACATTCATTCGAACTTTTTTGACATATGCTGCCGAACTCTCCGGAATACAGTTCGGACCACCCTATACAGGGTGAGTCTTAAATAAGTATATTTTGACTCCAGAGATTCGTCTATGTATTTTTTTTTGCGAAAAAAAAAATTTGAAAATTTGGAATTTTTTGAAAATTTTTTTGGAATTTTTTTTAGTTTTTAGTTAAAAAACATAATTTCTTGATGATATGGCAATATAGGTAGTAGAAGTAGATTAAATTTACAGAATTTTTTTTTTGTTTAGAAAACCTAGAAAATATCCAGTGGTTCTCAAAATTTAAGCAAAAAATAATTTTCATTAATGTTTTCTTAAATTTTCAAAGTAAAATAACTCTGTTATCTTAGATTTATTTGAAAAACGGTAGAGAGAAAATATGTTTCTTTTATCGAAATTTACTAGCCCTGAAAATATTTGCACTTATTTAAGACTCATCCTGTATATATACATATAGTATTTTCTATGCTCTTGAAAAATTGGTGTATGTATATTGAACATGGTTAGACATTTACAACATGCTAAATGAAAGAAGAAATTTCATTAAAACGAAACTTGTGAACGTTAAATTTTAAAAGCGGCAATCTCTACGTTAATTTTGCCCTAAAATATAATTGTTATTAAAAATAGGTGACTACTTGTAATCTTTATCAAACGAGATACAAATTCTTGGAGCGTTTTGTCGGTTCTTAACCAGCGGGAATGTTTTATTCGCCCGCTGTTTTATTTGTTCCGCCGACCTAAAGTAGCGGACCGCCCTAACTACATAATAGGGCAGCCGTACGGCGCCCTTATTAAATTGCGAATTTGACGCTTTTTATGCGACAATATCTCAGGCCGGCTTTGGAGGAACACTGAAAAAAGAACGGCCTTTTTATAACGCACACTGACACTTTATTTTGGACGTAAATTTTTAGTGAGCTCACAGGAAACCGTTATTTAAGTTTCTTTTTTATATAGAAGCCAAGAAACAGTTTTAATATTTCTTAGGTATATATTATTTTTTATGAAGACACCTTTTACCCTTCTCAACATCTGTCGCTCGCTTAAGACCTTTATATTAAAACTCGTAAAAAGGAGAAAAAAGGCGGTTAATGTAAGTTAACGGTTCAATATCAGGACGAAAGGTTTATTAAGTCGCTGAAAACACAATGTTGTCGAATTAAAAAAGTTCGAAAATAAACGTTTAGAATATGACTTTTTTGTCAAAATAAGTAGGTTAATCTGTGTCCGAAGATAATAAGTCTAAATCTACATTAACATTGATTCTCACTATACCTTTCGTTTCCTTTCCATATCCATGCCATATTCGTTCCGTATTGTTTATTGTATTGACCCTGTACGCAAGCTTCCGTTCCGTATCAGTTCCATACTTTTTATTGTACAATTTATATCATTGCGAAAATTTTATTTTAAAAATTTGTATCTTTTTAAAAATAAACATGTTTCTTTAAATTCAAAACATTCATTTTTAAGACACTTTGTATACATAAAGCTGCGTATAAATATGTCGAGACGAGTGCGAGAGACACCCGAGACGAGTCAACCTCAAGCGGATTTGAGGCTGACTCGTCATATTGGGACGGGGTCTGAGCTTCGAGCCGAGCCTATGCCCAGCCGGACGACGTTGTCTCTGTTTTTTCCGGAGCCTTTGGCGAACCATCAAAAGGATTGGGGCGTCTATTTAACCAGTGGCGTATACACCGCGGCTCCGTGGAACAAGTGGCTCGGATTCCACATCCCATTTTTATATAAAAATAAATATTCGTTCCTTTATTTTTTATAATGTTAATTATGCATCCTAACAAGAAAGATGCAATTTTATCTTCTCTAAAATAGTATAGGTAAGTTAGCCAATAAATCTCATATACAAAGATTTATTAGTGATTTCTTTTATAAAAACATGAAAATTTTATGAAAAATTAATAAACGAAATAAACTTTTCGGCGATTTAAAAAATGAAGAATAATTTAAAAAACACATCTTTGAGTAAATCTTTTACATGAATTTGTCCGTCAATAAATTTCATAGACTTGGTTATCAAACCGTGTTCCCGTATATTATTTAAATACCCACAAATTTTCTAAAAAAAAATAAAAATTAACACATTTTTTGAATACAACAAAATAATATTAACTAAACAAAACTAGAAAACGTCATTTTTACTACATCACAAGCAAATAAAAAATAACACGTAGCCAAGAGTCATAATTCAAAATTTCTCTGGGGGGTGTCCAGCAGTACCTGGTGGGGGGGGGGCTGATACCACCGGGCACCCCTGTAGTTATGCCAATGTATTTACAATATATGTTCCAGGTTAGTTATTGGCATTTAAATGTAAATTTTTAAATTAATAATTTATATCTTAATTACTTAAATTTATAATTTTTTGAATAAATAAAGTCAAATTAGTTCTTATCTTACTCTATTTAAAATTTTTATAGATATACAAATAACATATAAAATATATTATTTAATAAAATAATTAAAGATTCAAAAAAAAAACACGGCACTGGCAAGTGTTCAGTCGGCTTTCTCCATTTTTTTTTAATGTAAACAATCCGAATTATTTCTGACGGCAAAGTAAATATAATTTAAATTTATCATGAATTTTTTTAATTTATCTATCTTATTTTGAAATTAAACAAACATATACAGGGTGTTTCAAAAAACCATCTCTCGTGGAGAAGTTCCTCACGTAAAAATAAAATTTATTTTTTATATCAACCAATCCGATTATGCTTTGATTCGTAGCTACAGGGGGTTTAAGTAGGGTTGCCAACCGTCCTCTATTTCAGAGGACAGTCCTCTTTTTGATTTGATTTTTCTCTTACGTATTGAAAACTTTGTTTAGGTTAGTTGGACGTACTGAGACTTAATTTCTTTGCTCCGACGATACCGATAAAGGCACCGACAAAGACAGTGCTGAAATTATTCCCAATGGGTCCCAATTTATTCCTAACTGACTTCAGATAAACTATCCGTTATTATATCTTCGAGTTTTGATGGTACAAAATAAAAAAGAACATAATATTTAAGGTTTCTTTTTGATCTACCATGTATAATATTTTCTTTTCTTCCTCTACAATGTGTGAAAACTATACTAATTACCCTACTTTAATTACCATTTAGTTTTTTGAAGCTTAACAATTATAGCAATGTAAAATGGCATTATAAAAAATCACCCTGTACCTTTTCGTTTTTAACCACCTGTTATTTTTTATTAAATATTTTTTTAGTTGTAGTCCTGTACTAAGGGACAACTGTATTTTAAATATTATATTTAATTTCATGTTTTCTACCAGGGCCCATTAGAATATATTTTTACTAGGATTAATTCAATACCCTGTATTAACACAAATACCAAGACGTAGAGTTAAAAAATTAAATATTTATGGGGGTATTTATAAATGAGTTTAAGATAAAGAAATCATTTTTTGTTTATTTGTTCTTCAGAACAATAGGTACCTATTTTTGTCCTTTTTCCCTACCTGATGCAACACTGACAGTGTGTCGCACTCAGTGTTTAACGAGATTTTACCGTGCGACGTGCTTGGTAGTTTTGTGGTAGTTTGCACTATGGAGTGGTCGGAAGAAGCAATGCTCAACTTAATAGAGACATATAGATCATTTAAAAATTTATGGGACCCCAAAGACAGAAATTATTATAAAAAAGACAAAAAAAATGATTCGTGGAACACATATATGCACATTGCATATATTGCATATATCCATATAAACATTTGTTTCTACATCTTTCCACTTATTTTCTGCAGAATATGCCGCCGACGTTTCCCGAATACAATTCGGACCACCCTATAAATTCTTAATTACCTATCTTGAATTGAAATAGGCTGCTGAAAATGAGTTTCACTTTTTGAGATAGTTGGTCCGATTTTGTTTAATAAATATTCAAAATCTGTAGGGGAC